CCCGGGCTCCAGATGCCGGAGCCGCCCTGGAAGGGAATCCGGTGGTGGGGAGCCCTGTAATGCGTCCAGCCCGACGGCTCCACGGCCCCCATATGCGTTTCTGTATGTGGTGGTACTTTGGAAAGCAAGGACGTTCAGAGCAGTGGGTGTTTCTGGAACCCCTGAGTTGTTTCGTAGCTTTTCTGGCATCACTTGTCTTCCTGTGAAATGGGAGTGAGGCCCGAGTCCCCCTTGTGAGCTGTTGGAGGTTAAGGCGCGGCCACGCTGGCCACGATGGAGGAGTGGCAGGCACTGCCGGTCCTAAGGATCACAGAGGCCTGATGGCAGAGAAGGGCACTGTGAGTGTCCCCATGTGCCCTTTCACGGGTCGGTGTTCTAGGGTGGGAGTCGTGAACACCAGCCGGGTATACTGGTCGCTGGTCTCTTTTGCCACCCTGTATGTGTCGGCTAGTTGTCTGCACACCAGCGGGGAGGTGCAGGGACCCCTGAGGCCCACCTTGAGGGTGTGGCAGCTGCAGTGTCCAGGGGTTCTTTGAGGGCTGAGCTGTGCCGTGGCGGACCCACTCTTCTGTCCTGGCCGAGGAACGGGTTTCGCGGGTGTGCCGTTGCCTTGAATGTGGTTTGAAGAGGTCAAGGATAGACGAGAGGGTGGAGGCGAGGTTGAACGTCAGGCAAGAGTTGGCAGAAGGTTCATAGGAAACCACTGATATTTCTAAATGCAGTGTTATTTGTCCCTCGTGGACTGCAGGTGGCTGTCTCATGTGATGTTCCCTGTGTCTGGGTGTTTTCCCCGGCCTCCCGTTGCAGACTCTGTTGGGCAAAGCTGATTCTGGCTGGGTTGCCCATCCAGCACTGAGCACCATCAGCCCTCTGCCACCAGCAGGATGGATTTTCCATTCCTGGATGTGCTTGAAGGCTCATCCGATGCATGTCTGTCTTTGTCTTTCCAGCTCTATTTGTAAAGGTCTTGAGAACAAGAACAGTGACTTCGGCTCCGGAGCTTCAATATAGTGGCCTGCTTGGCCTGCCCATCTCGGGTCTCTCCAGGAGGACCCAGCCACTTAAGGTACCAGAGAGTCTTGATTACATCTGCATGTGGCGCTGTTGGTTTCCTGGGATGCTCAAAACACCAGTGTCACGTTGAAATGCCACCACTTTCTCCCAGATTTCCTGCCTTGTTCATCCAGTCACCCGCTTACGGGAATCCACACGTAATGGTACTGATGGGGGGAGGGTATCTTTCTGTCTGTTTCATTCTGTGTGTAAAGACCAGCCACACCGACACTCCCTACCTTTCCCAGGGCTTCTCCAAAGGGCTGGTCTCTGAGGGCATTGACAGTTTCCTTGTCACTGTCCCCCAGAAATGACCACAGGAGACCAGAACACTGAAGCCAGTGATTTCTGTTTGGAAATAGGGTCGTCTTCTGCTGCTGACCCCCATCAAATCCCATCATGCCCACAGCCCTGTGCCCCCGAGTCTTGGCTCCGAAGGAAAGTGAGGAGCCCAGGAAAATGAGGAGCCCACCTGGAGAGAACCCTAGCCCCCAAGGGGAGCTTCCCAGTCCCGAGTCTTCTCGGCGCCTCTTCCGCCGTTTCCGCTACCAGGAGGCGGCGGGCCCCCGGGAGGCCCTGCAGCGCCTCTGGGACCTGTGCCGGGGCTGGCTGCGGCCTGAGAGGCACACCAAGGAGCAGATTCTGGAGCTGCTGGTGCTAGAGCAGTTCCTGGCCATCCTGCCCCGGGAGATCCAGAGCTGGGTGCGGGCGCAGGAGCCTGAGAGCGGAGAGCAGGCTGTGGCCGCGGTGGAGGCACTGGAACGGGAGCCCGGGAGACCCTGGCAGTGGGTGAGTAGAAGGGGTGAGGCTGGGACGGGTAGAGATCTGGTGCTTAGACACTTTGACTGGGCCATGCATGCGCTGGCCGGGGAATGAGGAATTCCACTGAGAGCCGTGTACTTTGGTTAGGACCAGACTAGAGTTTCCTAAGAAAGCCAGTTTTACTCCCTGAAGCCTCTAATTTGGGCATGATGGTGTCATGCTCCTTTACGGCCCAGTCCAAGGCCTAAGTGGAGCCTTTGGTGGGCAGCTGTGGAGTGGATGGTCACCAGGTCCAGGGAGAGATGGGACCTCTTCGCCTAGCTTGAAAAGCTTTCTCTGGGATTGCAGCTCAAGCACTGTGAAGACCCTGTGGTGATTGATGATGGGGACAGCCCTCTGGACCAGGAGCAGGAGCAGCTGCCGGTAGAGCCCCACAGCGACCTGGCAAAGAGCCAGGATGCCCAGCCCATAGCCCTGGCACAGTGCCTGGGGCTCCCAAGCAGAGCACCAAGCCAGCTCAGCGGGGATCCAGGTATGCAGCCCGGGGAGTAGCAGGGGTGATCTGGGGGAGCGCACACCGCACACTGTACACTGGGGTGGTTTTTAAGCTGATGGCTTTTGCATCAGCAGTTTTCTCCTGTCCCCTGAGGGACTGTGAGCTGTTATCAGGGTCTGAGTCCCTTCCTGGAGGAATTAAACGAGAATCTCATCAGGATGTTTGTTCTCTTCATGCTTCTAGATCCTCTCAGAGCTAACTCTTCTGTAAGTGGGTGTCACTGAGGTGGTGCCCTCTCATCTCTTTGAGGGTGCATCTTTGCAGGATTTGTCAGTTTGATGACAGCTAGGGCCTGCTGCATGAATGGAGCATGGCCATCTCTTGTCTCTTGGAACCTCTGTTTCTTTGGCTAAACAATTCCTATTTACAGGAGCATTGTGATTCTGCAAAGAGATATAAAAATACTTTGGAGAACAGAGGATGGTATCTAGTGTGTGGGACCAGAACATCAGCTAGACATGGTTTGAGTATGTGTATGAAGTACATGGTTGCTACAGAAAAGTAGTTTTGTCGTCAGATAAATTTAGATTTGAATCTTCTGGGTATGACATGAGGCATGCTTCTAAACTCCGAAAGCCTCAGTTTCTTCCTCTGTCCAACAGAGATAGTAATTACCTTTTTTGGGGTTTTTGGACGATTAAATGAGATACAACCTATAAAAGGCTGAGCACAAAGCCAGAGATGCCCAAAACTTTTTTTTTTTTGAGACGGAGTCTCGCTCTGTCACCCAGGCTGGAGTGCAGTGGCGCAATCTCGGCTCACTGCAACCACCACCTTCCAGGTTCAAGCAGTTCTCTCGCCTTAGCCTCCCAATTAGCTGGTTTATAGGCGCTTGCCACCACGCCTGGCTGATTTTTATATTTTTAGTAGAGACAGGGTTTCGCCATGTTGGCCAGGCTGGTCTCGAACTCCTGACCTCAGGTGATCTGCCTGCCTCGGCCTCCCAAAGTGCTGGGATTACAGGCGTGAGCCACCGCGCCTGGCCGCCCAAAACTTTTAAGTACATATCATGGGAAACCAGTACTCTTGGGTTGAAGGAAGTCTGGCACGTGGGTTCCTCTGGGTGGACTTTCCACAGTGCTCTGTAGGTACAGTGGAAAGAGAGTGTCTAGGGGGCCAGGGGGGCTTTCTTAGGACTCTGGGTGGACTTGCCACAGTGCTCTGTAGGTACAATGGAAAGAAAGTGTCTGGGGGGCCAGGGGGCGTTCTTATGATTTGCAGAAGTTGTGTTGGCCTTATGATAAGCTTTTCAGTAATAAAACCAAAATGCCTATTAAATTTCTCTGTGTGGAAAAAGTATAGTGACTTCTGTACAAATCATACAAACTCTTCAGCCTTTTCTTGCTCGTAAGTCAAGACTGGTGTGTCGTTTGCTGCCATAACAAAGTACCAGAGTGGGTGGCTTATGTAACAGAAATGTATTCTCTCACAGTTCAGGAGGCTGGTGTGTTGTTTGCTGCCATAACAAAGTACCACAGAGTGGATGGCTTATGTAACAGAAATATATTCTCTCACAGTTCAGGAGGCTGGAAGTCTGAAGTCCAGCAGCCTTGGGTTCTTCTGAAGCCTCTCTCCTTGGCTCTAGACGTGCCTAATGTTAACACTAAGAGAAGTTTGCAGATAGGCATTTAGAAGGAGCTAGGGGCTGAGCGCCGTGGCTCACGCCTGTAATCCCAACACTTTGGGAGGCTGAGGCGGGCGGATCACCTGAGGTCAGGAGTTTGAGACCAGCCTGGCCAAGATGGTGAAACCCCATCTCTACTAAAAATACAAAATTAGCTGTGTGTGGTGGTGGGTGCCTGTAATTCCAGCTTTTCGGGAGACTGAGGCAGGAGAATCACTTGAACCTAGGAGGCGGAGATTGCAGTGAGCTGAGATTACGCCATTGCATTCCAGCCTGGGTAAAAACAGTGAAACTCCGTCTCAAAACAAAAACAAAACAAAACAAAAAAAAAGAAGGAGCTGGGAGGGGAAGTCTCTTATGCCACTGGCTCTCCTTGGGACCCGTAAAAACCTATGAATATCTGGCCCTGAAAGCTGACAACAAGCTTTGTGCCAGGACTCTTGGTGACGGGCAGTTTTCTTTCAGGGAGAGGGAGAGGAAGATGTTTACACTAAGAGAAGTTTGCAGAGCGAGTGTAACAGACACCTTCTCTCTCTGGGTCTCTTACATGGTCTTTCCTTTGTGTGTGTCTGTGCTTTATCTCCTCTTCTTGTAAGTACAGCAGTCCTATTGGATTAGGGCCCACCCGTATGACCTGATTTTATCTTAATGACCTCTTTAAAGACCCTGTCTCCAAATACAGTCGCCTTCTGGGGTACCTAAGGATTAGGGCTTCAACATAGGAATTTGAGAGGAGCATAACTTAGCCCGTAACAACAGGCATAAGGGAAGCAGCCAGTCACCCACATAATGCACGTGCAAGTAGCTTGGGTTATGCAGGAAGTGGGGGGCTGTGAGAGGCCTTGTAGTGGGGTCTGGGAAGGCACGCAGGAGGAGGGGAAGAGTTTCAGGAACTACAGCAGCCTGTGCAGTTGCTTCTTGATAAAGTTCTGAGATAAGCCAGCAACCACAGATGGGGTTTAGGAAAACAGGGCCAGCTCTCCCATTTCCATGAGCAATAATCAATAGGCAAAGTAGGTGTGACAAGAGTTAGCAGTCAGGAAAACCTTAACTATTAGGACAATTTATCATTGGAATGCACTACCCGTCATAGCTGTATAGTTCCTCATCTTGAAGATCTTCCCCACAACCTAGGTTCTGTGTAGGGTCTGCAGCTCTCCAAAGTGATTCTCGAAAGGGTCCATGTATTCATTTATCGGGGCCAAAGGTAGGGTGGGGCTACATATTCATATATATATCTGGGATAGCTGCATATCCCAGAAGGTGGCAGGTGTGAGGAAGCAGAACTAAAATACCACCTGCTAGCCAGGCACAGTGGCTCACGCCTATAGTTCCAGCTACTCGGGGCTGAAGCAGAAGCATCGCTTGAGGCCAGGAGTTTGAGACCAGCCTGAGCAACATAGTGAGAACCCACCTCTAAAAAATAAAACATCCCCTCTGGGAGATGTTGGTCAAAGAGTCGAAGTTTCCATTAGATAAGATGAATAAATTCTGGAGATCTGTGGTACAGCATGGTGATGTTGATTAAAAATAATGCATCTTATACTTGAAAATTGCTAAGAAAGTAAGAAATGTTCTCATCACAAAAATGTATGAGGTGTAGATTTGTTAATTAGCTTAATCATTTCACAATGTATAGTTATCACATTGTACAGTTTTCATACATACAATTTTTGTCAATTATACCTTAGTAAAACTGGGAGGTAAAAGTAAGTTAAATAAAGATGAAGATAGAAACTTAAAATAGAACATACACACACAAAAATACCACCTCCTCCAATCTACACCCCTCCAGCCTGAGCTTCCCTTCAGACACAGTGAAAAGGCCCCCTAGAACGGCGCTGCCATCTGTGTGGGCTCCTGACCCCATCCTTTGCTCCGCATAGCCGCTCTTGCAGCTGCTGTTTCCTGCAGGCTTTGTGTCCCAGCTCTGAAAGGCCAGGGACACTGACCTCTGGGGTTTGCTTTGATAGTGACTTAACATATGACCTGGGGTTAACCAATAGACTGTAGCACAGCTCTCCAAGTCTTAATCTGAGAAAAGAGTACCGTTGGAAACACAGAGCTCATTTTTACATGGCTGCCCTGCTGGCAGGGAATGCAGCTCATGGCAGAAGCCTCAACAAGGGGTAGTTTCCAATTTCAGGAGACAAGAGTGGCAGAGTCCCTGATAGCCCAAAATAAGGCTGGTGAGATGGTCCCAAAGCCACACTTTACATTTTGTATGAGGGTCTTTAGGGCACTGTGTCAAATGCTCTTTCAGGAGTACCTACGGTGGTAACAGTTTTTCTTCTTTGTTTAATTTCTGTTTTCAAATTGACAAAAAATTGTATGTATTTACGGTGAACAGTGTGAGGTTTTGATATCTATACACACTGTGAATGATTAAATCAAGCTGATTAGCTGGGCATGGTGGCACACCTGTAGTCCCAGCTACTCAGGAGGCTGAGGTGGGAGGATCCCTTGAGCTCAGGAGTTCTGTTCCAGCCTGGGCAACATAGTGAGACCAGTCTCTTAAAAAAAAGTCAAGCTAATTAATATAATGCATTACCTCATACACCTCTCCTTTTTCTGCGTGTGGTGAAAATACTTCAGATCTACCCTCTTCGCAATTTTCAAGCACCCAGTACGTTGTTACTGCCTATAGTCACCATGTTATGCAATAGGACTCCTGAGCTTACTCCTCTCATGTCACTGAAATTTTGTACCCTTTGACCAGTGTCTCCCCAGTCCCCCATTCCCTAGCCTCTGGTAACCAGCATTCTACTCTCTGCTTCTATAAGTTCAACTGTTTTAGAGTCCACATTTAAGTGAGAACATGGAGTATTTCTCTTTTTGTGTCTGGCTTATTGCTCACAGCATGTCTTTCAAGTTCATCCATGTCATCACAAATGACAGGATTTTCCTTCTTTGTTATGGAGTTCCACAGTAATTCTGATCGCCAATAGCCCTTACTTTTTTTTCTTCATTTGAGATAGAGCCATGTTCTGTCGCCCAGGCTGGAATGCAGTGGTGTAGCTGTGGCTCACTGCAGCCTCGATCTCTCAGGCTCAAGCAATCCTTCTGTTTTAGCTTACCAGTTTTTTTATTTTTAGTAGAGATGAGGTCTTACTGTGTTGCCCAGACTGGTCTTGAACTCCCGAGCTTAAGCAGTCCTCCCCCTTTGGCTTCCCAAAGAGCTAGGATTAGAGGCATGAGTCACCACATCCAGACCCTAACAGTTCTTATAGATTCCTCAACTCTACGGCTTTTTCTTTTTCTTCTTCTATTTTTTTTTCTCTTTTTCTTTTTAAGAGACAAATACTCTCTGTGTTGTCCATTCTGGTCTGGAACTCGTGGGCTCAAGTGATTCTCCCACCTTAGTCCCCAGAATAGGAATAGCTGAGATTACAGGCTTGTACCACCACACATGGCTGAACTCCATGGAGTTTTAACCTTTACTTTCCCATAGTTTGGGTAACAATGCTGAGGTCCAGGGACCTACCCGAGGTGAAAGAGTTCATTTAATTGACCATGTCATCATGAACCCAGGCACTCTCTGTTATAGCCCCCCTTGTTATATCTGGAAACAAAGTCGCAGCAATCTTTGTGGTTTACAGAGTGCTTTTCATGTGCAGCATTTTGTAATCCTCATTTTACAGGTAGGAACAGAGACTGGGGTTTTATGAAAAGCACCGTGAAACAGCTCCCTGTTGGTGCCTCTCTTGCTACCAAAATGGAAGTGAAGAGCCATGGGAAGCTCAGAAGGTATCAGCACCAGGCCTGGCCCTGGTCCCCTTTGGGACACCATTTTCTGATCTCTTTCAGTTCTGCAAGATGCTTTCCTTCTTCAGGAAGAGAATGTGCGGGACACACAGCAGGTGACCACCCTCCAGCTACCCCCGGTGAGTGGTTTCTACAGGAGTCCTTGATAATCCTGCATTTGCCTCTGTAGGCTACAGGGCAGCTTTCCTAGGGCCCCAGCCAGCTTTCTGACTGCCACACAGGATGTTCAGTCCAGGCCCAGAAAAGCTAAAATAGGCAGAGCGTGAGCTTGAGAGACGCCCCATTTCTCCTCCTGCCCTATGGTCCCAGCTGCCACTCTCTGGGTTGACTGTCATCAGGCCACCTTCAGGAAGCTTTGTGCAGACGATAGCAGGAAACAAAGGCCCATGAGTCCCCACTGATGGGCCTCTCAGCGTGTCTAAGTTCCCCTCTTGTGAAAAAGGAGCTCTCTCTGCTCTTTCATTTTACAGAGAATTTTTCAATTTAATAATCATCGCAGCAATGGTTATATTTTAGAAATGTTAGGAAGTGGAGGGAAGAAAGCACAGATAATTTCAGTCCTGTCACAGATCTATATGGTGAGTCATTCCAGAATTTCCTCGAATGTTCTCGTTCGTGTTTTTGTATAAGACTTGCTTACTCGGGCGCTCTGAGGAGTCAGAGTCAGGGCCGGGGGCTGGTCCAGCAGGTGATCTTACTCACCTCTCTCTAGCCCGGCTGCTGCCTTTGACCATGTTTTCTGGCCGTATCTCCTTCACTTTCCCTCCTAATACTTTCCACTGGCTGGCATGAGATTGAGTTATGACAGCATCATCCCCTCCCGTGGGAACAGGAGGTGTGGCTCCTGTTTTTGTTTAGTTGCTCCTTACCCAACAGAAAACTGAAAAACAGTAGACACACTGTTATCATATCTCAGCAGAATGTCAGAAACTGAGCAGTTTGCTTTCTGCACAGTTCATTTGCCCTGACTTTATTATATTTTTATTTTTAGAGACAGGGTCTTGCCTTGTCACTCAGGTTTCAATGCTGTGGCACAGTTGCAGCTCACTGCAACCTCAAACTCCAGAGCTCAAGCCATCCTCCCACCTCGGTCTCCTGAGCAGCTGGGACTACAGGTGCATGCCACTACACCCAGCTAAGTTTTGTATTTTCTTGTAGAGACAGGGTCTCGCTATGTTGCCCAGGCTGGTCTCGAACTCCTGACCTCAAGTGATCCTCCTGCCTCAGCCTCCCAAAGTGTTGGGATTACCGGCATGAGCCACTGTGCGCAGCCGACATGGCTTCAAACTTGGAGAAGGGAGGGCTAGGGATGGGAAGGAGTGTGCCAGGTTACCCAGTTGGGGGCATCTCCATAACTTGCTTTTGGCCCACCAAAGCTGTGACACACGCACGTTTACCCTGATGCTCAACACATACATGTCAGCATTTGCTACGTACTGTGACCATTCCCAAACATGAAGGAGGTAAAACCAGTATTTCTTATTAAAAGTTGCGTCTTTAACCAGTATAACGCACAAGGGGATGCTGTTCATTCGGTACCTATTGAGGTTGGTCTTCATCTTTCAATTCTTGCAGTCCCTGGTAAATGCCGTAGCGAGCACAGTACAGAGGTTTCGATAAGTCAGTGTTGTTTTGTTACTCTGATAGTTTCTTCCCAATGCACTAAAGGTTGCCATTGTGAAGATCTTGTTTATAAGTGTTTTTTTAATTTCTATTTTTAATTGTGGTAATATACACATAGCATAAAATTTTCCATCTTAACTGTTTTTCAGTATGCAGTTCAGTGGTGTTAAGTACATTTACATTGTTGTACACCCAATCTGTAGAACTTTTTCATCTTCCCAAACCGAAATTCCCTATATGTTAAATAATAACTCCCCATTTACCCTTTCCTTAGTTCCTGGCAACCTCCATTCTACTTTCAGTCCCTACTAATTTGACTATAAATACCTGATATAAGTGGAATTGTACACTATTTGCCTTTTCGTGACTGGTTTATTTCACTCAGCATACTGTCCTCAAGGTTCATCTATGTCGTAATGTGTGTCGGAATTCCCTTCCGTTTTTTTTTTTTTTTTTTCTGAGACAGAGTCTTGCTCTGTCACCCAGGCTGGAGTGCAAGTGGCTCGATCTCGGCTCACTGCAATTTCCGCATTCCGGGTTCAAGCAATTCTCCTTCCTCAGCTTCCCGAGTAACTGGGATTACAGGTACCCACCACCATGCTTGGCTAATTTTTGTATTCTTAGTAGAGACAGGGTTTCACCATGTCAGTCAGGCTGGTCTCGAACTCTTGACCTCGTGATCCACCCACCTCGGCCTCCCAAAGTGCTGGGATTACAGGCGTGAGCCACTGCACCCGACCATGAATTCCCTTCCTTTTTAAGGCTGAATAATACTCCCATGTGTGTATATATCACATTGTTGATCCATTCATCTGTCGATGGACATTTGCATTGCTTCCACATTTTGGCTGTTGTGAATAATGCTGCTACGAACATGGTACACATGAAGTTTTGTTTTTCTTTTTAAATTAACCTTCTTATTTTTACATAATTATAGATTCACATGCCATTGTAAGAAATAACACAGAGAGATCCTGTGAACTTTTTAAACGCTCAATGGTAAAATATAGAGTAAAAATCTATATTCTATAAATATAGTACAATGTCACAGCCAAGGTATTGACATTGATACGTTCAAGATACAGAACAGGTGCTTCACCAGAAGGATATCTCCTGTTACCTAATGTCCACACTCATTTCTTTCCTGCCCTCACCCTCTCTTCAACCTCTGGCAACCACTGATCTGTTTTTCAGCTCTATAATGTCGTTTCATTTCAAGAATGTTATATAAATGGGTTAGTATGGTATGTAACCTTTGGGGATTGGCTGTTTTCATTCAACACAATTCTGTGGCGCTTTATTCAGGTTGTTGCGTGTGTTACTAGTCCATTGCTTTTCATTGCTGAGTAGTATTCCATGGCATGGAGGTCCAGCAGTTCATTTAACCATTCACTGGTTGAGGAACATCCAGGTTGTTTTGGGGTCATTATTGTATAAAGCTGCTCTAAATATTTGTGTGCAGGTTTTTATGTGCACATCAGTCTTCATTTCTCTGGGATAAATGCCTGGGTATGCAATCGTTGGTAAGTACGTGTTTAGTTTTGTAAGAAACTGCTCGTATCTGATATTAATATAGCTTCTCTTCTTTCTTTTGATTACTAATTGCATAATATATTTATTCCATCCTTTTACAGTCAACCTGCTTACATTATTATATTTGAAGTGAGTTACTTTTAAATAGTATATATTTGTTGTTTTGTTTTATTTTGTTTGAGGCGGAGTCTCATGTCATCCAGACTAGAGTACAGTGGCGCAATCTCAGCTCACTGCAACCCCCACCTCCTTGGTTCAAGCAATTCTCTTGCCTCAGCCTCCTGAGTAACTGAGACTACTACCACCAGGCCCGGCTAATTTTTGTGTTTTTAGTAGAGACGGGGTTTCACCATGTTGGCCAGGCTGGTCTTGAACTTCTGACCTCAGGTGATCCACCTGCTTCGTCCTCCCAAAGTGTTGGGATTACAGGTGTGATCCACTGCACCCGGCCTAGACAGTATATATTTGGATAATGTTTTCTAATCTACTCTGCCATTTACTGTGTTTTAATTGATGTGTGTAGACCATTTGTATTTAATGTCATCACTGACATGTTAGGGCTTAAGACTTTCTATTTTTCTGGCTCTGTTTTTGTTTCTCTGTTTCCTTTTTCCTATTTTTCTGTGGGTTACTTGAACATGTAGAATTCCATTTCGATTTACCTAGTGTGGTGTTGAGTGTATGTATATTTTTGTTTAGCCTTTTTAGTGGTTATTCTAAGTATTACATTATATATACATAACTTATCTACTGAGTATCATTTTATCAGTTTGAGTGAAGTGTAGAAACTTACTTCCTTTGTTCGGGTGCCGTGGCTCATGCCTATAATCCCAGCACTTGGAGAGGTCAAGGTGGGAGGATTGCTTGAGCCCAGGATTTTGAGACCAGCCTGGACAACATAGCGAGACCTTGTCTCTACAAATAATAATTCTAAAAAATTAGCTGGGAAAGGTGGTGTGCTCCTATAGTGCCAGCTTCTTGGGAAGCTGAGGCAGAGGATTGCTCGAGCCCAGGAGGTTGAGGCTGCACAGTGAGCTGTGATTGTATCACTGCACTCCAGCTCAGGTGACAGAGTGAGACCCCATCAGAAAAAAAAAAGAAAAAGAAAAAGAAAGAAAGAAATACAATATGCCTCCTTTTACATACCCTCACCCTTCTTCCCCTGTTATAATGCAGTGTGTTAAATATTTCCTCTACGTACATTGAGAACCACATCATAGAGTGTTGTAATTTGTGCTTCAACTGTCAAACATTATTCAGAAAACTCAAAAGGAAAAAGAAAACCTATTTGTTACCCATACTTTGGCTCACTGTTTTCTTCCTTCTTAGGTTTCAAGGTTCCTTCTTTTTGTTTAGAGTGTTTCTTTAGCCGTTCTCTTAAAATAGATCTGCTGGTGATGGACTCACCTATTTTTTCCTCATCTTAGTAGGTCTTCATTTCCCCGTCATTCCTGAAGGATGTTTTCACCAGATGAAAGATGCACAGTTGACAGTTTTCTTTCAGCACTTGAAAAATACTGTGTTATTTCCTTCTGGCTTCCATGGCTTTTGATGAGAAATCTGCTGTCATTCAAAAATTTTTTCCCTATAAGGCAGGTATTATTTTACTCTGACTAAGATTTTTTTCTGTTTTTTGCCTTCAGTTTTCAGAAGTTAAATTATGCTGGGTCTTGTTATGGATTTCTTTAGATTAACCTGTTTAGAGTTTGCTCAGCTTTTTTTTTTTTTTTAATACTTTTTTTTTTTTTTTTGAGACAGAGTCTTGCTCTGTCGCCCAGGCTGGAGTGCAGTGGTACAATCTCGGCTCACTGCAACTTCTGTCTCCCTGGTTCAAGTGATTCTCCTGCCTCAGCCTCCCAAGTAGCTGGGACTACAGGCGTGTGCCACCATGCCTGGCTCTAATTTTTTGTATTTTTAGTAGAGACGGGGTTTCACCGTGTTCGCCAGGATGGTTTCGAACTTC